CATCCTCACATACACTCACTCTCTCAAACACTTTTTCAACACACACTCACTTCACACACATCCTCACATACACTCACTCTCTCAAACACTTTTTCAACACACACTCACTTCACACACATCCTCACATATACTCACTCTCACAAACACTTTTTCAACACGCACTCTCACACACGCATCCTTACATACACTCACTCTCACATACACGCACTCCCACACACACACATCTTCACACACTCAAACACGCATCCTCACACTCACATACACACACTCTCACACATGCATCCTCACACATGCATCCTCATACTCACACACTCTTACATACACATCCTCTGACACACATCCTCACACACTCTCACACACGCATCCTCACATACACTCACTCTCTCAAACACTTTTTCAACACACACTCACTTCACACACATCCTCACATATACTCACTCTCACAAACACTTTTTCAACACGCACTCTCACACACGCATCCTTACATACACTCACTCTCACATACACGCACTCCCACACACACACATCTTCACACACTCTCAAACCCTCACCCTCACACTCCCACACACACCCACACACTCACACACACACACTCCCACTCCCACACACACACTCGCACTCACACACTCACACACTCACTTACACACATTCACACACACTCACACACTCACTCACACACTCACACACATTCACACACACTCACACTCACAGACATTCACACACACTCACACACTCACACACACTCACACACTCACACACTCACTCACACACTCACACACTCACACACTCACACTCACACACTCACACACTCACACTCACACACTCACACACTCACACTCACACACTCACACACTCACACTCACACACTCACACACTCACACTCACACACTCACACACTCACACTCACACACTCACACACTCACACTCACACACTCACACACTCACACTCACACACTCACACACTCACACTCACACACTCACACACTCACACTCACACACTCACACACTCACACTCACACACTCACACACTCACACTCACACACTCACACACTCACACTCACACACTCACACACATTCACACACACTCACACACACTCACTCACACACACTCGCACACTCGCACTCACAGACACTCACACACACTCACGCACACTCACACACACTCACACACACTCACACTCACACACTCGCACACTCGCACTCACAGACATTCACAGACATTCACACACACTCACGCACACTCACGCACTCACACACACTCACACTCACGCACTCACACACACTCACACTCACACTCACACTCACACTCACACACACTCACACACTCACACTCACACACACCGTGTAACAGAAACACTCGGTTTAGCGGAACCTTTACGATTAATTAACCGTGACGTTTTAAAGTGCAGTTAATCGCGAAACCGGTTAATCGCTGCACCCCTAGTATAATATCACCTCCTCCACTCCATGGGCTCTCTGGGCAGCTGCTGGGTCAGTGATCCGTACAGGGCTGTGAACAGGTTCTGATCGCCCGCACCTGCGCAACACACACACACACACACACACACACGTGTTACCAGACTGAAGTTTAATCTTTAATGTCATGGTGAAACCACAAACATACACAGATATATATAGTGCTCAATTCACACTCACACACTCACTCACACACACACTCACTCGCTCACTCACTCACTCACTCACACACTCGCACACTCGCACACTCGCACACTCGCACTCACACTCACACACTCATACACACACACACTCACACTCACACACTCACACACTCGCACTCACACACTCATACACACACTCACACACACACACTCACACACACACACACTCACCTTGAAGTCCAGGTATCGGTGGATTATGCTGAGCGTGACGTGATCTTCGGCACTCAAACCCGACAGACGCTCAAATCCTGCAGATCATCATTGAGAACCACAGATATTACTTTAAAACACACCTTTCATTCCAAGCTTTGATTTAAACTACTAAATGTCTTTGAAAACAACCTGTAATCTGCACTAAACTACAGGCTCATTATCTTTTCAAATCTGAGCAGATCAGATCATATCCTTGATTTTTCTTGCACTCAGAGAAGCATTAACTACATACAAATAAAACAAACAAACAAACACTGTCATTTATATAACTAAAACTGAAGCATTCAACAACATCCAAAAATGTTTTAATGTTATTGTTGAATGCAACGTTTGCACCGCACTTCATTTACTGTTTAAACTTGGTGCCAATCGCTTGTTTTTGACTGTAAAGCATTTTGAACTGCATTGATTCGTTAGGAAAAGGGCTTTATACATAAAATATAGCTGATTGATTGATTGATTGATTCAACACACACACGGTTCTCTCTCGTACCCAGTTTGCAGAAGATGCAGTAGATGTTTGCACGCAGGTTTTCTGACACGTCTCTGACAGCAGCACTGACGTCATGTGATGATGATGATGATGATGAAGATTCATCCTGATGCCGAGAGACAATCGGCCGCTTCACGTCTATTAGAGAGAGAGAGAGAGAGAGAGAGAGCCTTAACAGAGCATCTGGTCACTTCACTGTCGAGAGAAACAAACAGGTTATGCTTGATGCAGGAGGAGACGCTCTTCGAGTCGATCACGTTCACTGACGGCTCCATTAAGAAGCTCCATGTTGATTTCATGCTCACTTTAATCACAGAGCACTTTAATCTCTGAGCCCCCTAACCCTGAGATTTGAAGTTAATATGTTTAATGGTCACATGACATGCAGTGAAACAAATGAAATATTTCGTGGTTTTTCAGTAAGAGTTTTAGTTTGACTGTGATAGCTCTGTTTTATGGCGTCTGCACCTGTGATCATGCCGTGTGGGTCTCGTGAGACGCCCGTCTGCTCCTCCTCTCTCCTCCAGATGTGCAGCAGCAGCTGCGGTGCGCTGGCGTCTCTCTCTCCGCTCCAGCGCAGCAGGCGTGTGATGGCCTGGGGACTCTCACACAGCTCCAGCAGCACGGACACGAGCGGCGTCAGCATGTGTCTGGGGCTCCGCTGCACCACACAGGCAAACACACCACACAATGACACACACACTCAAACCTATACAAGGCTTCCTGCCAGCGGCCCTCCTTCACAAAACTGAACATCTAGAGCAGCTTATCACCGGTAGAATGCAAAGTATTTCAATACAAGCATTTCAGTCGAATATAATTCATGCAGGAGTGAGATTTGACGATCTCGGGTCGAGAGTAAGGAGAGATGACTGACAGATCATGCTGGAGGATTTGCTGCTCAACAGATCCTGAGCTCACTGACAAATATCTCATCTTGGAGCACAAAACCAGTCATAAGGGTCAATTTTCTGAAATTGAGATTTATGCATCATCTGAAAGCTGAATAAATAATCTTTCCATTGATGTGTGGTTTGTTAGGATAGGACAATATTTGGCTGAGATACAACTACTTGAAAATCTGGAATCTGAGGGTGCAAAAAAAATCTAAATATTGAGAAAATCATCTTTAAAGTTGTCCAAATTAAGTTCTTAGCAATGCATATTACTAATCAAACATTAAGTTTTGATATATTTACGGTAGGAGATTTACAAAATATCTTCATGGAACATGATCTTTACTTAATATCCTAATGATTTTTGGCATAAAAGAGAAATGTATAATTGTGACCCATACAATGTATTGTTGGCTATTGCTACAAATATCCCCCAGCGACTCAACACTGCTCTTGTGCTGCAGGGACACATATATCTGATCTCGTAAGATGTGCTCCTTAACACAGAGTGCACAAGATCACCAAATCCAAAGTGAAAGTGAACAGCAAACGCTCATTCAAAAGCGATTTCAGTGTCCTGCATCTTGATAGCATACTATATACAATATTAGAATGTTTGTGGGAGCGGGCAGTAATGGTCTGTCATTCAGCGGGAGCGGGATTTAGCGGCGACAACACCATCGCATCTGCTGTACACTTCATGATGCTGGTGGCAGGTGGAGCGTGTGTAAGGCTGGGCAAGGCTTCCCTGGACACTGGTCGGAAATTAACGGGGGTCTTGGGAAAAAATGCGACCAAAAATTCCCCTGTACAACTTAACTAAATCTAATACAGCTGTCGCGAATAAAGTGAAAATCAAATAAAAAGTGTGCATTGTGACATTAAATTTAGATCTGCTAATGTCTGCATTGCAACCATTTACACACGATTCTGTTGAGTTTATGAATGCAGCGGCCAATCAGAGGCGTTCAGATGAGTTTTGTTCAGTGCACGCGCTAGCGGACTGCATTCTCTCATCATAAACAACAACGTGCAGATGTAAGTAAGAGATCCACAGCTTCACTGTTTATAACGGGAGTTGTTTTGAGAGTGCTTAAACACGCGCTAGACTGAAGCCAGTCATAATAATGAAGACCAGACAAAAATATGAGTCATAGCCTATTTAAACAAACCCAAAAAAGAATAAAAGAAATGTGCTAAGTTTGTTATAACATAGATTTTTGTGGAGAAATGTCTTTGTCCATCAATTAAAGTAAATGATCAGTATGTGAACACGTTGTGAAACTGAAAAAAGTATGAGTATGTGTTTGTGTGTTTGCAGAGCGCAGCTCTCACCTGCAGCAGCTGCAGCAGCAGATCCACGCCGCCGCCGGCCACGAACACATCCTCCGTACCGAAACACCCCAGCACACAGGACCTGAGAGAGACACGAGAGATCACAGCACACCTGAGGAGATTCTCATCTCTCTATGTGAGCGGAAAACCTCTTCCTCTGGTCATTTTGCAGACACCTTCGCACAGGGAGTCGCTTTCGAGAATGAATGAGTGAAAGCACATTCACAATTAAGATATAGTTTTAAACTCATTCTAGATTTGAAAAGAACAGCGGAGTTCATAATGACACAGTGGAACAGTATCGCTGGAATCACTTTCAGGAGAGCGTTTCCCAAAAGCAACTATGGTTGCAAGTTCTGTTACCAATAGAGTTAAATGGAACTAACACACCCCAGAACATTCTGAACCATAAAAACAGTGACAGCCAATCAGAATCTATCTGACTTTGACGAGCTCCAGCATTTAAAGTAGACTGCTGATTAAGACACATTTCATGATTCAATTCGATTTCGATTCACAAACTTGATTTGATTTCAATCTCAATTTTGGATATTTAGGCAATCAGGTTCAGTGCATGTCAACTTTTTTCAAGGAAGTTTTTTTAAACTAATGCTGTAAACATTATAATAAACTCTGTCAGTCGTTACATTACTATATTAGTGATTCATAGTAATTCACAAACATTTAAATTGCACATAAGGCAGTTTCCATAATAAAATGCCTTATATAATACAAAATTATTATGATAATGTTTTAATAATGTAATTATGTTTCTACTCCAGTTTGTTGCTGAAATATATACATTTAAACAGTGGATGTCATAAGTAAAGTTTTCGTGACAGATTTATTCAAACACATTAAATATTAAATGTTTTTTTGTTTTTTTATATTAAATGTTTAATGTTTTAATTCAGTAAATATAATGAATATGAAATAAAGTGCATATATAGATCAAAATGCTCTTCTCTAGAGTTACTTTTCTAGCTGATTATTGAGTTTATGGACATTAAATGTCTTTTTTAAGGTAAATGTGATGTTACGTGACATTATTGATTCAGTGAGCTGTTCTGTTTCTGCTGTCCATTCATGTTATTTGCTGCTGTAACTAGTAGTAAAGAGGAACAGATGCTCAGCGCACATTAAAGAGCCACAAAAACACATTTACTGATTACATTTCATAATAAAACTGACAGAATTTGGAAGCGGAGACTTTGTTTTATATCAAAAGTAACAGTTTTTTGTGATTATTGGACAGGAGGAGCTACAAATGTTTTGTTCAGGCATCATCTGAAAACAGCACAGATCAATTATTGGGATTTAGGAATCAGTACTGGTTTATCAAAATGAGAATCAATATTTTCAGCCCTAATTTAAAGTGACACGACTGCAGCGTGATTAAAATAAACAGAACGTTATATCATTATGGTTATAGTTAAAACTATTGTTCTTGGTGTGAACAGATAAAGACGCGCGCGTCTCACCAAAGACAGTCGACGGTGGACAGCAGCAGTTTATTGTGACCCAGACCGCTGGAGACCAGCGCGGCGTCCAGACTCAGATACTGGATCAGCACCTCCACCCCGTCAGTCCCGAACAGCTCCTGAACACAAGCAGCGCTCGTCAGTCATCAGGAGAGAGTACAGCGGCGCTGTGAGACAGCAGGAGACGCGTCTCACCTTCCTGTGCACGTCTCCCTCACAGAGCACAGACAGCAGGAACAGACAGTCCGTCTGGATCTCCAGAGCCACAGCGTCCTCGTCCTGCGGCCTCCCCAGGAACCAGCGCAGCACACCTGGACACAGAGCCACTGTGAGTCAGTCTGAGCTGTAGGAGACTGTCAGAGACTGAAGGGGACTCACCCAAGAGCTGGCCGATGGCGCCCTGATCGCACAGGTCCTGCAGGAGCGGCTCGTGCTCCACAGATGCCACGGATCTGAGCACACGCACACAGTAGCGCAGCTGGGCCCTCCTCCCGCCGCCGCTGCCGTGGAAACCGTGACTCCGCCCACTGAAGGAGTCTGACAGACAGGTCTCGATCAGCGACAGAACACTTCAACTTTCAGAATCGCTGCTTTATCAGAGAGGTTTTTACTTTGGGAAAGTATTCCTTCACTATGTTCCAAAGCATAGTATCAAACTTTGTACTTCTACTTTTTTAATTCCATTCTGAAGGAACCACCACTGCCTGTGACACACAATGTCCGATTCGTGAACGAACGGATTCTTTCCTGTGATCAATTGGTTCACAAATTGCACTGAACGATTCATTTGCGAATCAGACTGATCCAATTGCAGCTGTTCTTGAGTCAACAAATCACTGTTTAATCAATATTTGAAGAGTTCAGATGCAAAAGCCTCTAAGAGCTTTGTGAAATTTACTTCTAAAATAAGCATTTTTCTCAGGATCCTATGTATACGTTCAGTTATTTGACTTTAATGCCAATGAAAAGAACCTATTAATTGCCATTAAAGTGAAATAACTCAACCTACACATAGGAGCCTGAGAAAAATGCTCAGTTTAGAAGAAAATGTCAAAAGGCACTTAGAGGTTCTTCATTTGTTCTTGTTTTAATCATGAACTCCATTTTGTTCTTGTTTTTTTTAGAAAACAAGACTTTATATCTTCATTTTGCATCTCCAGTAAATGTGTCTTGATGGAAGGATGTTTAGATATGTGTACTGGAAAACAAGACAGAAATACTGAGGAAGAGATTCAATTTTTGCAGTTCATGCAACATTTAATGCCATGCCTTTATGGATTTAAGACTTTCTGCTCTGGTTTAAGAGCGTTTAGGGCCCTAATCAGTGTGCGGGTGAATGAAGTGCACGGTGAGTGTTGTACCATCCTGCAGGCAGCAGTCCAGCAGCAGCAGCAGACAGGTGTTGGCCTGACAGCTCATGTACTCGTCCAGCATCAGCGGAGCGAGAGCGCTCAGTGTGGACAGAGCCTGCAGCTGCAGCTCCTCCTGCTGTCTGGAGCTCCATCTGTGTCTGTGTCTGCGGCTGCGCTCCGCAGACGAGCTCGGCTTCACCAGCAGCATCAGAGCCAGCATCACACGGCCCTCTCTGAACAACTGCTCACCACAGAGACAAACACCATTAGCTCACAAACAACACAGCGTGTTCAAAGGTCATCAACTCAGAAACCAAAATTCCCTTGATCTCTTTTCATATATAAAAGGTCATTGTGCTATAAAAACATCTTGTATGTTTCAGAAGTTAAAACTTTCTCATTAGTATAAAAACAGCTTATATTGAAGGCAGTCTGCCAAAACCACAGCTTGTGGAGTGTTCTACTCTATGATGTAATAGTTTGGATAAACCCCGAACCCGCAGGACATTAACATCACTGTCTGTTTAGCCCCGCCCACCGATTCTACATCACTGTCTGTTTAGCCCCGCCCACCGATTCTACATCACTGTCTGTTTAGCCCCGCCCACCGATTCTACATCACTGTCTGTTTAGCCCCGCCCACCGATTCTACATCACTGTCTGTTTACCCCCCACCGATTCAACATCCCTGTCTGTTTAGCCCCGCCCACCGATTCAACATCGCTGCCTGTGTAGCCCCGCCCACCGATTCTACATCGCTGCCTGTGTAGCCCCGCCCACCGATTCTACATCGCTGTCTGTTTAGCCCCGCCCACCATCACTGTCTGTTTAGTCCCGCCCACCGATTCGCAAATGTAGTGTTTATGAGAGAGACGAACATGCAGGTCTGTGCAGAAACCAAACGATAAAGATGCTCTGAAGACAACAAGATGCTGTGCAGTGCCAAGCTGTGGAACAACAGTGTTTGCATGGCCTTTCATCTGATCCCAATGTTAGGAGAGAGTGAATGAACTTGATTTTTAATGAAGATCCAGACCGTGTCTGTAAGAACGTGGTCCTTTCACTTCATTTTACCGTGGATTCGTTTATAAACAAGGCACAATTTGATGCGGGATTTTCAGGAAGACTGAAACTAAAAGACGATGCAGTGCGACTGTATTGGATCCGACAGTAATGTCGAAACACAAGTGTGAGAAACAATCACAGCAGTGGCGTTCACTTCCGAGTCTACAATCCTCCAGAGCGCTCTGATGAGGGGGTAAAGACAGAACAGAACATAGACTACTACTTCTAAATCATGATGTTATGTTATGCATGCACTTAATTTCCAGCGATATCGTGGACTTGATTGCACAGATACTATTTAAACTGAACTGAGCTGGATGATGATATCACTGAGTCAATGATGAACAGCCTTTAACTGAAGATTGAGCGTTTACTGTTGTCCTTCTGCATTATTACACACACTATTTTCCTGTTTAATACTGTAAAGCTGCTTTGACACAATCTGTATTGTTAAAAGCGCTATATAAATAAAGGTGACTTGACTTGTGTTTTGATGTAAATATCTTGATAACATTATGAGTGGATCTTCAGACAACAGCACAAAATAAAAAACAGAGGCCGTTCATGACCTCTTTCAAACTAAATATATTTTCATTTAACAATATATTTCAATATATTTTATTGTTTAGCACATATTTAGCATCTCTTTTGCCCCCCGCAGAAGAAGGAAAGTCGCAGGGGTTTGCAGGATGCTGAATGTGTTCGTCTCACCTGCAGCGCAGCCAGATCTCTCGACAGCACCACGATCATGTTCAGCAGCAGCTTCTTCATCTCAAAGTCCTCCTGGCTGAAGGACAGCTTGAGGTTTCTCACCAGAGGATTGTGGCTCTTCACTGAGAAACACAGATGTGTGAGGAACGTTCTCGCTGCTGTCATGAACGCTGGTTAAATCAGCAGTACTTACGCTCGGGAAACGTGAGGAACGGCGTGAGATGCTTGAGGAAGCCGCTCTCCTGAAACACACAGATGCAGGCTGAGAGCTGCAGAGGAAGAGTTATGAGGAGGAGGAGGAGGATGAAGACTCACGATCAGAGGAGTGCCGGGCTTCTCCGCGATCAGAGACAGCAGCACCAGCAGGTCGTTCCTCAGCTGACGCTCGTGATGACGGAAACCCTTCAGGAGCAGATGGAGAAACACGTCCTTCAGAGATCTGCAGCACAGAGAGAATCATGGGAAGGTTTAGAGCACGCTCATCTTCAGCTCACGTCTGACACATTCCTCCCGTTACTGTCATGCAGAGAACCAATGCTTTTCATTTCCGCTGGTAATAAATCATTGCACTGTGACAGCTGTCAACAATCTTTTTCTATTTAGTATTTTTCCTGTTCTTCAGATTGAGGGAGTGTTGTGGTTTATACGTTAGCTCCGTGCTTTATATGAAGGGTTTTGTTTGAGCAGGATTGTAGTGTAGGGAGTGTTTTATTATTTATAAACGCAAGTTGCTGATGTTTTTATTTAGTAAATCTTGTATTTTCACTGCTGTGTGCAGAATATACTGCTGTTTTTAATTACTCTTCTGGGCCCAGTAATACAACGGGTAATACAGTGAGTATCTTTCTTTTTTGTTGACTTCATGTTGTTTGTAGTTTGTAAGTGCTATAGTTTAGAATATTTTTTGGAAACTAGATAAAATAAAATTGTAGTATATGTGCACGAATTGAAAAGCTACTATATGGAAGGTGAATAAGCATAAGCATTAGTTATGCACAGTATTATTAGTCATTAATCTCCTGTGTGTTCAGTGCATATTCACTACGTTCATGAACATGTATCATGTATGTACTGATCATCTCTCCGTGTGATCTGAAGCATGTTTGACTCACGCGATGCAGTCGCTGCTGCTGAGCTGTGAGGTCACTTCCTGTCGGGAGCCGTTCTCCAGCAGGTTCCACAGGATCTCGGAGGATCTGAAGAGCAGCTCTCCGGACGGATCTCCTTCGCTCATGTGGAAGCAGATCTTCTGCGCGGCCTGAGCTCTCAGCATCAGGTTACAGTTGACTTCTGTCAGGAAACACACGGCAGGTTCAGACGGAGCTGTGACGCACTGAGAGCGAGCGGAGGCTCTGATGCTCACCTGATGCTCTGGACAGGATCTGCAGCGTCTGCAGGAGACACAGTTTGACCGGAAGCTGCTCCTCCATCAGAGCCAGAGACATCACCAGCGTCTCAGAAACACCACTGCGCTCCAGCATCAGAGCCCTGTAGTCCAGACGAGCGGGAGACAGGCCTGAAACACACACACACACACACACACACACACACACATATGACAGCTCAGAGCTGACGGTGGAGATGTCACAGGTCCTCAACACTATAGTTCATCATGAGTTCGTCTCACACACAGTTTAAGAAATGTCTGCATTCTTTTATGTCCCAGCTAACAAAAATATGTTTAAAGAATGTTTTGCTAATGTGCCCTTTACGTTTATAAAACATCATTTCTAACTGTTCCCTGAATGTTCAAAACATCCACTTTTTAAATATTTTAAAACGCCTTTTTCTTGGTTATGTGAACATTGAAAAAAAACTGTTTGATCATTTTGCAACCAGTTACTTGAATGTTCTCTGAAGGTTCTGAAACAAGTAGTTACATTTAAAACATGTAAACTAAAATGTTTCAGCAATAAAACGTTCCTTGAACAATGTAGCTATAAATAACGTTTATGTACTTTTGTTTTGAGAACATTATAAAACCTTTGTGTAGTTGGCACCCCATAAAATAAAATAATTACTAAAACTATGCTATTAGTTTGTGCTGATTTGTGCCGCAAAAACAACGAACGTTTGTGTTGGTTTAGTGTAGGCTATGAGATAGGCCTATTACAGTTTTTTTCGATTGCTAAATGACAGTGGGCACAACTGGAGCTACATGTGCAAAACTCTAACTACAGTCTGCACTACCAACAGTCACCTGAGCTAAACAGTTCACATCACCTGCAAAACTCATTCCAAGCAACACAACTCTTAACACATGGCTCAAAACAGGCTCAGTGCAGCCAAACACTATGCACAACCCTCACTGAGATAACACACACTGTCACTCAGAACACACTGAGAGCAAAAACACTAGCATCAAACACCAATACAGAAAATACAAACTTTTCATCTTTACAGTTTGAACAATTTCAGTGACTTCATACAAAGTAATATTTTCTTCAAAGAAAAGAGTGACATTCTTTCACATGATTTATTTACATTTTTAGAACATAACAATTCTTTAAGGTAAATGAAAATTAGCAGTTTGCTTCAATAGTCTGTAGTAATTTACGGAATTACAGTAATGAGAAAAAAATTTTGGAGCTCAACAGCCAGGATCCTCTTTACACTGAAAAGAGGTTTGGAATGACATGAACAGTAAGTGATGACAGGAATTTCATTTTTTGGATAATTATTCCTTTGATCAGCCAAACAGATGTGGTTACTGGCTGATGCCAGTCATCTAAATACAGTTTTATTAATATGTTTGGACAATAAATAAGTTTATCACTGGTGCAAACCTATGATCTAGCTTAGTGGTTCCCAACCCTGGTCCTGGAGGCACCCCAACACGGCACATTTTGCATGTCTCCTTTCTCTGACGCACCAATTTCAGGTCTTGAAGTCTCTACTAATGAGCTGATGATCTGAATCAGGTGTGTTTGATTAAGGAGACATGCAAAACATGCAGTGTTGGGGTGCCTCAAGGACCAGGGTTAGGACCACTGATCTAGCTACATGTATCAAACAGGGACCTGATAGCACAGACTTCCCCGCTCCAGTGGGCATGAGGACAAACACCTGTGCCACCTCACCTGTGAGTAGTCCACACACACACACACACACACACACACACACACACATCAGCAAACACACACACACTCTCACACACACACACACACTCTCACACACACACAGCTGGATCATGTCTCTCACCGTCAGAGCGGTGTTTGTGCTTGTCGCGGCTGTAGAAGGCGATCACAGTCGAACAGATCTGACGCCGCACCTCCGGCAGTGGGATCCTCATCAGAAAACCTGTCGTAACGCACTCATTATAGAGAGAAGATAGCCTG